CGCCGGCGACCCTGGTCTCTACTTTCCTCTTCCGTAACGTACATGTTTGTGTGTGACCGTAAAACCTACATCACCGTCACATACATATACATACTCACCCTCATGTCACGGTAGCTGCCATTACCTTCTCTCTCTCTCCTCTCTCTCTCACACCTCGTAATACTGCATCACGCCCTTGTTGAAACTGACTGAGAGTGGGTGGACGACAGCACAAAGCGTTACATAGATAGATAGATAGATAGATGAGATAGATAGATTGGATAGACAGATAGATTAATTGATAAAGAGAGATAAAACCTCCAGACGAAACAGTCAAACAACAGTAAAATAACAAAAAATAAGAAAAGCAAGAACAGGAAGGTGTGTGTGTGTGTGTGTGTGTGTGTGTGTGTGTGTGTGTGTGTGTGTGTGTGTGTGTCTCAAGATACACTGCAGTACATTACACGGGTGTACCGTGTACAATACAGCCTGTTTGTAGTGTACTAAAGTTATCCCGGACACACACACACACACTCACTCCAGCAACGTTAAACAGTACTTACCGTGTACAATACAGCCTGTTTGTAGTGTACTAAAGTTATCCCGGACACACACACACACACTCACTCCAGCAACGTTAAACAGTACTTACGTCATAGGTTATATCTAAGTAACATTTAAGTGAGTAGTACATAAGTATGGTCTGAAAAGTGGCAGATGAAATTTAATGTGGGAATGTAAAGTACTTAGTCTAGGAGGTGTAAACAGATGGAGTTGTGTCTACCGGGATATTTACCCTGTAGAGTCCATTAACCTAACCTAACCTAGGTTAGGTTAGGTTAGGTTAGGTTTAATTTAGGTTAAGATAGGTTAGGTTAGATTAGGTTAGGTTAATAGAAGTTACAGTGTAACTATCACGGTAGACCAACTCCAGCTCGGTAGACCGCATACTATAGTAGCTCCAACCAGATATAGATAAACAACGTTGTTATAGAGAAATTCGACTGTGAGAAAGATTTAGGATTAATGATAAGTAGGAATCTTAAACCAAGTAAACAAGGCGTATTTGTTCGAAACAAGGCTTATAAAGTACTTGGGTTCATACAAAGGAGTGTCAGTTGCAAGACTAGCGAGGTCATCCTAAAACTATACCTTGTGCTTGTGAGACCTCACTTGGATTACACAGTTCAGTTCTGGTCACCGTACTACAGAATGGATCTAGAATCCCTAGAGAGCATTCAGGGGGATGATGACAAGACTAACCCCGGGCATTAGGAACCTTAAGTTCAGAGACGTAGAGTGAGGGGCGATATGATAGAGGTGTATAAATGGAAGTCAGGGTTAAACAAAGGTACTCAAACTATCCAACCAGCAGCGAACTCGTAGCAATGGTAAACATTGGTTAGAATAAAGAGTAGTGGATGAGTGGAATAAGTTACCAAACATCATCATTAATCATTAACACGCTGGATTGCTTCAAATAAAGGCTCGTTGGATATATGAGCGATAGGGGTTGGGTGTAAACGGGACTCCTTAGTATGGGGCAATAGGCCCGCTGTAGTTTCCTCTGTTCTTATCTTCTTATGTTACAGTAGAGATCAATATGTAAGTAATGGACTATGTATACGGAACATTGAAATTAACAATACATCAGTAACAATTGGTATTTTATTCTTAAAGTAAATATTTAAGTAACGCTGAATATGTTTTAAGTACCCAGTAAGTAAAAGTCAATACCTTCATAAGAGAACATAAGAGAACATAAGAAAATAAGGAGTCAGCAATAGGCCGGTTGACTGAGCATGGCAGCTAATGTCGAGAGTTACTACCACTCTCTATCATCCATGAATCTATCTAGCCTCCTTTTAAAGCTTCCCAGCGTTCCAGCACTGGTGACAAGTTACAGTGATACAGTAACCTTTAATTAACCACTAATTATTCACCAGTTGGCATAAAAAAGCATCAGTTTAAATAACAAATATAATAACTTATTTAATGTCACTTTACACTTAACAATACCAATAGGTCAATCAGGTCACCTTTTTAAGACTCACTATTAAAAGAAGCTAAAAATAACACGAAAAGAATCACCAGGTTTTTCTGTCTAGAATTCGGGTCAGTTGCCAGTTTCACCTTTACCGTCTCAGTGACCTCTTACAGTATCTAAGGTCAAGTCTCAGTAAACTTGTATAGCACACGAGGTCAAGTCTCAGTGACCTCTTATAGTACACGAGGTCGAGTCTCAGTGACCTATTATAGTACACGAGGTCGAGTCTCAGTGACCTCTTATAGTACACGAGGTCGAGTCTCAGTGACCTCTTATAGTACACGAGGTCAAGTCTCAGTGACCTATTATAGTACACGAGGTCAAGTCTCAGTGACCTCTTATAGTACACGAGGTCAAGTCTCAGTGACCACCTTATAGTACACGAGGTCGAGTCTCAGTGACCTCTTATAGTACACGAGGTCAAGTCTCAGTGACCTATTATAGTACACGAGGTCGAGTCTCAGTGACCTATTATAGTACACGAGGTCAAGTCTCAGTGACCTATTATAGTACACGAGGTCAAGTCTCAGTGACCTATTATAGTACACGAGGTCAAGTCTCAGTGACCTCTTATAGTACACGAGGTCAAGTCTCAGTGACCTCTTATAGTACACGAGGTCAAGAAATCACATTGGTCGAGTAGTTGTGTGTGAATATTTTTTTGTATTTAGTGTATTTTTCACCATAACTGTAATACAATTCATGGAATACAGTGTTCTTGTGTTCTATTGTATTCTTGTCCCTTGTACTGTATAATACTTCTTACAGAATACAGCATTTGTAACTGAATTCTATATCACTGTAACTTGTCACCATAACCGACATTCAGAGTATTGATCCCTTTTCTCTGATTCTTGTATTGTACTGTAACTTGTCCTCATAAATGTAGAACAACTTTCAGAACAAAACTGTATCGCTGTATCGTTAAGGTGGGGCGAGAGCTGGTCAGGTGCTGTGGGGTGCACCAGTCTAGCATAATGTCACACCTCCTGTCTCCGCTTTCACCTGTCTTAACTGGGTTAACATTCACAGTCTAAAGTTAACTATTCTTAAGAGTTATTTGAACCATCCATATCTTAGTTTAAACCACCTGTTTTAACTAATTTGAACCACCTGTCTTAACTAATTTGAACCACCTGTCTTAACTTAAATTGAACCACCTGCCATGACTTAATTTCAACCACCTGTCTTAACTTTCACCTTCTCTAGTTGGTCAACACGAATCTGCCTCTCTTGTTAAATGTCACCCACACGAGTTAATATGAACCAGCGGTGTTATAAAGACTCTCACTTGGTACTCTGACTTGCTGTAGTTTGGGCAGTACAGTACAGTCATCAGGAATTACTCTCTGGTAGATAAATAGAAAATGTAGATGGTAGAAATTGATGAAAAGATGTAGATTAGTGGTCGTGTTGGGAGCGTGGGCGTGAAGGTGTGTGGGTGTTGGGAGCGTGAAGGTGTATGGGTGTTGGGAGCATGGGCGTGAGGGTGTATGGTGAGAGGGAATGGGTAGACCTTGGGCGGGGAATGGCGATAACATACATACAGTACATACATACGTACATGCATACATACATACATACATACATACTGTACCTACATACATTCATACATACATACATACATACTGTACCTACATACATTCATACATACATACATACATTCATACATACATACATACATACATACATACATACATACATACATACATATCAACGAGGTTCAGCAAGATAGTGCGGGGGGGTCACATTAAACGGGGTCAGACGACAGTGTTCACTATAACCGGAGTAAAGGAAATATAGGTCAGGGGGGAGAGGAGGAGGCAGGAGGGGGGGTCAAGGTCATGAAAAGAGACGGCGTTAGAGACGCACTTTCACTCTCGTCTTGGCGGTGGTACCTGGCCTATGGGGAGGGGAGGGGTAGTTGGTACCTGGTCCTATTGGGTAGGGGAGGGGTGGGGGGTGGTGGAGGAGGGGGTTTGTGGGAGGGGAAGATAATCGGTAAAAACACGGTCGTGTGTGTGTGTGTGCGTATTAAACAAAGTTGACATGTTTAAATATATTCAACTATAATACTCCGTGATGCTATCAAGAGTCTGACTAACTAAACAATGGTTTCTATCCCTCATAAAAGTAATATAATCTGAACTACAGAAGAAACGAGCCTCATTAATGCTGTTATTAATGGAAGCCCCTTGAAATCGAGGATGGCGGGGCTCAAGTGCCACCTAGGCGTTGGCGTGCTGTCGCCAACACAACAACCACACCCACACCGGCCCAGTGTCAGGGAATAGTCCGAGGAGACCGGACAACTCGCCAACTGCTAACCATTACCCCGGAATACGATCCGCAAACCGATTAATATCCAGATTCCTGCTGGGTAGACAGAGGCAAGTGGCGTAAAGAAATTTGCTCATAGTTTCACCCTGCCCGAGCTCGCTTGCGAGGTGAGGTTGCCGACCATTACACCACAGGTCGCCACACCTTAAACAGTCAGTAATGCGTAACTCTTTCCTCCTTATTTACGTTGTCTCCTGCTTAACTTTTCCTTCTCCTCCTCTTCCTACGAGTGGTTCACCTTGGCCCCCATACTCGCTCAGGTGCCAGGAGGTGGAGGTGGAGGTGGTAGTGGTTGGCGTCTTTGACCTAAAATCCTTCACCTGAATTTATTTATAGCTGGCTATAGATTGTTGAATTCATTACGTGTGTGTGTGTGTGTGTGTGTGTGTGTGTGTGTGTGTGTGTGTGTGTGTGTGTGTGTGTGTGTGTGTGTGTGTGTGTGTGTGTGTGTGTGTGTGTGTGTGTGTGTGTGTGTGTGTGTGTGTGTGTGTGTGTGTGTGTGTGTGTGTGTGTGTGTGTGTGTGTGTGTGTGTGATATACAAACCTGGATTCGTGTCTCTACTGTGGTGCAGTGTTTCTGCTGTGGTGTTGTGTCTCTGCTGTGGTGTTGTGTCTCTGCTGTTGTGCTGTATCTCTAATGTGATGCTGTGTCTCTGCTGTGGTGCTGCGTCTCTGCTGTGGTGCTGCGTCTCTGCTGTAGTGCTGTATCTCTGCTGTAGTGCTGTATCCTCTGCTGTAGTGCTGTGTCTCTGCTGTAGTGCTGTGTCTCTGCTGTAGTGCTGTGTCTCTGCTGTGGTGCTGCGTCTCTCCTGTGGTGCTGTGTCTCTCCTGTGGTGCTGTGTCTCTGCTGCAGTGCTGTGTCTCTACTGTGGTGCAGTGTCTCTGCTGTGGTGCTGCGTCTCTCCTGTGGTGCTGTGTCTCTCCTGTGGTGCTGTGTCTCTGCTGTAGTGCTGTGTCTCTCCTGTGGTGCTGCGTCTCTCCTGTGGTGCTGTGTCTCTGCTGTAGTGCTGTGTCTCTGCTGTAGTGCTGTGTCTCTGCTGTGGTGCTGCGTCTCTCCTGTGGTGCTGTGTCTCTCCTGTGGTGCTGTGTCTCTGCTGCAGTGCTGTGTCTCTACTGTGGTGCAGTGTCTCTGCTGTGGTGCTGCGTCTCTCCTGTGGTGCTGTGTCTCTCCTGTGGTGCTGTGTCTCTGCTGTAGTGCTGTGTCTCTCCTGTGGTGCTGCGTCTCTCTGTGGTGCTGTGTCTCTGCTGTAGTGCTGTGTCTCTGCTGTAGTGCTGTGTCTCTCCTGTGGTGCTGCGTCTCTCCTGTGGTGCTGTGTCTCTCCTGTGGTGCTGTGTCTCTGCTGCAGTGCTGTGTCTCTACTGTGGTGCAGTGTCTCTGCTGTGGTGCTCTGTCTCTACTGTAGTAAAGGGCCTCTGCTGTGGTGCTTTGTCTCTGCTGTAGTGCTGTATCTCTAATGTGATGCTGTGTCTCTGCTGTAGTGCTGCGTCTCTGCTGTGGTGCTGTGTCTCTGCTGTAGTGCTGTATCTCTAATGTGATGCTGTGTCTCTGCTGTAGTGCTGTGTCTCTGCTGTAGTGCTGTGTCTCTGCTGTATCTCTAATGTGATGCTGTGTCTCTGCTGTATGCTGTCTCTGCTGTGGTGCTGCAGCCAATGCTCTGCTGGTGCTGTATCTCTAATGTGATGCTGTGTCTCTGCTGTAGTGCTGTGTGTCTCTGCTGTAGTGCTGTGTCTCTGCTGTGTGTGCTGCGTCTCTGCTGTGGTGCTGTGTCTCTGCTGTAGTGCTGTATCTCTAATGTGATGCTGTGTCTCTGCTGTAGTGTTGTGTCTCTGCTGTAGTGCTGTGTCTCTGCTGTGGTGCTGTGTCTCTGCTGTGGTGCTGTGTATCTCCTGTGGTGCTGTGTCTCTGCTGCAGTGCTGTGTCTCTGTGGTGCAGTGTCTCTGCTGTGGTGCTCTGTCTCTACTGTAGTAAGGGCCTCTGCTGTGGTGCTGTGTCTCTGCTGTGGTGCTGTGTCTCTGCTGTGGTGCTGTGTCTCTGCTGTGGTGCTGTGTCTCTAATGTGGTGCTGTGTCTCTGTTGTATTGCTGTGTCTCTGCTGTGGTGCTGTGTCTCTGCTGTAGTGCTGTGTCTCTGCTGTAGTGCTGTGTGTCTCTGCTGTAGTGCTGTGTCTCTACTGTAGTGTGTCTGTGTCTCTGCTGTGGTAGCTGCTGTGTCTCTGCTGTGGTGCTGTGTATCTAATGTGGTGCTGTGTCTCTGTTGTATTGCTGTGTCTCTGCTGTAGTGCTGTGTCTCCTGCTGTGGTGCTGTGTCTCTGCTGTAGTGCTGTGTCTCTGCTGTGTGCTGTGTCTCTAATGTGGTGCTGTGTCTCTGTTGTATTGCTGTGTCTCTGCTGTAGTGCTGTGTCTCTACTGTAGTAGGGCCTGCTGTGTGCTGTGTCTCTGCTGTGGTGCTGTGTCTCTGCTGTAGTGCTGTGTCTCTACTGTGGGCCCTGCTGTGGTGCTGTGTCTCTGCTGTGGTGCTGTGTCTCTGCTGTGGTGCTGTGTCTCTGTTGTCTCTGCTGTGTTCTCTGCTGTGTGTGCTGTGTCTCTGTTGTCTCCTCTGCTGTTGTGTCTCTGTGGTGCTGTGTCTCTGCTGTAGTGCTGTGTCTCTGCTGGTGCTGTGTCTCTACTGTGGTGCTGTGTCTCTGCTGTAGTGCTGTGTCTCTGCTGTGCTGTGTCTCTGCTGTGGTGCTGTGTCTCTGTTGTATTGCTGTGTCTCTACTGTGGTGCTGTGTCTCTGCTGTAGTGCTGTGTCTCTACTGTGGTGCTGTGTCTCTGTTGTATTGCTGTGTCTCTGCTGTGGTGCTGTGTCTCTGCTTGGTACTGGCCTCTGCTGTGGTTGTGTCTCTGCTGTGGTGCTGTGTCTCTGCTGTGATGTTGTATCGGCTGTGGTGCTGTGTCTCTGCTGTGATGTTAAGTCTCTGCTGTAGCAGTGCTGGGCCCTGCTGCTGTAGTGCTGTGGTCTCTGCTGTGGTGCTGTGTCTCTGCTGTGGTGCTGTGTCTCTGCTGTGGTGTTGTGTCTGCTGCAGCTGTGGCTCTGCTGTGCTGTGGTGCTGTGTCTCTGCTGTAAGTTGCTGCTGTCTCTGCTGTAGTGCTGTGTCTCTGCTGTGGTGCTGCTCTGCTGTGCTGTGTGTGTCTGTGTGCTGCTGTAGTGTTGTGTGTCTGCTGTGTGCTGTGTCTCTGCTGTGTCTGCTGCTGTGTCTCTGCTGTAGTCTGCTGCCTCTGCTGTGGTGCTGTGTCTCTGCTGTGGTGCTGTATCTCTGCTGTGGTGCTGTGTCTCTGCTGTGGTGCTGTGTCTCTGCTGTGGTGCTGTGTCTCTGCTGTCTGCTGCTGTGTCTGTGTGTGCTGTGTCTCTCTGTGCTGTGGTGGCTGTGGTGCTCAGTGCTGTCTGCTGTCTCTGCTGTAGTACTGGTGCCTCTGCTGTGGTGGTGTCTCTGCTGTAGTGCTGCTGTTGCTGTGTCTGCTGTAGTGTCTCTGGTGTAGTGCTGTGTCTGTGCTGTAGTGTCTGCTGTGTCTGCTGCTGCTGATGCTGTGTCTCTGCTGTGGTGCTGTGTCTCTGTAGTGCTGTAGCTGCTGGTGCTGTGGTCTGCTGTAGTGCTGTGTTTCTGCTGTAGTGCTGTGTCTCTGCTGTGTGGTGCTGTGTCTCTGCTGTGTGTGTCTCTGCTGTGGTGCTGTGTCTCTGCTGTAGTGCTGTGTTTCTGTATAGTGCTCTTGCTGTGGTGCTGTGTCTCTGCTGTGATGCTGTATATCTGCTGTGGTGCTGTGTCTTTGCTGTGGTGCTGTGTCTCTGTTGTAGTGTTGTGTATCTGCTGTGCTGTGCTGCTGTCTCTGCTGTGGTGCTGTGTCTCTGCTGTGTGTGTGTGTCTGCTGTGGTGCTGTGTCTTTGCTGTGGTGCTGTGTGTCTGCTGTGGTGCTGTGTGTCTGCTGTGGTGCTGTGTCTTTGCTGTGGTGCTGTGTCTCTGCTGTGGTGCTGTGTCTGCTGTGGTGCTGTGTCTTTGCTGTGGTGCTGTGTGTGCTGTGTGTGTGTGTCTGCTGTGGTGCTGCTGTGGTGCTGTGTCTTTGCTGTGGTGCTGTGTCTCTGCTGCTGTGGTGCTGTGTCTCTGCTCTGTGTGCTGTGGTGCTGTGTCTCTGCTGTAGTGTCTGCTGTGGTGCTGTGTCTCTGCTGTGTGTTGCTGTTGTCTGTGGTGCTGTGTGTGCTGTGTCTCGCTGTGGTGCTGTGTGTCTGTGGTGCTGCTCTCGCTGTAGTGTTGTGTATCTGCTGTCTCTGTGTCTGCTGTGTCTCTCTGCTGTAGTGTGTGTGTACTGCCTGCTGTGGTGCTCTGCTGTAGTCTGCTGCTGTGTGCTGTGTCTCTGCTGTAGTGTTGTGTAGTGCTGTGTGTCTGCTGTGAGTGCTGAGTGTCTGCTGTGGTGCTGTGTGTCTGCTGTGGTGCTGTGTCTTTGCTGTGGTGCTGTGTCTCTGCTGCTGGTGCTGTGTCTTTGCTGTGGTGCTGTGTCTCTGCTGTAGTGCAGTGTGTCTGCTGTGGTGCTGTGTCTCTGCTGTGGTGCTGTGTGTGCTCTCTGCTGTAGTGCTGTGTCTCTGCTGCTAGTGTTGCTGTCTCTGCTGTGGTGTTGTGTCTCTGCTGTATCTCTGCTGTGGTGATGTGTCTCTGCTGTGATGCTGTGTCTCTGCTTTGGTACTGTGTCTCTGCTGTGGTGCTGTGTCCGCTGTGGTGCTGTGTCTCTGTTGTGTGCACTGGGCCTCTGCTGTGGTGGTGTCTCTGCTGTGGTGCTGTGTTTCCTTGTAGCACTGGGCCTCTGCTGTGGTGGTGTCTCTGCTGTGGTGCTGTGTTTCCGCTGTAGCACTGGGCCTCTGCTGTGGTGGTGTCTCTGCTGTGGTGCTGTGTTTTCGCTGTAGTGCTGGGCCTCTGCTGTGGTGCTGTGTGTCTCTGCTCTGTTGGTGGGCCTCTGCTGTGGTGGTGTCTCTGCTGTAGTGCTGTGGTCTGCTGCTGTGCTGTGTCTCTGTTAGTACTGGGCCTCTGCTGTGGTGCTGTGTCTGCTGTGGTGCTGTGTTTCCGCTGCACTGGGCACTGGCTCTGCTGTCTGTGGCTGTCTGCTCTCTGCTGTGGTGCTGTGAGTGCTGGGCCCTCTGCTGTGGTGGTGTCTCTGCTGTGGTGCTGTGTTTCCGCTGTAGCACTGGGCCTCTGCTGTGGTGGTGTCTCTGCTGTGGTGCTGTGTCTCTGCTGTAGTGCTGGGCATCTGCTGTGGTGGTGTCTCTACTGTGCCTCCGCTGTGTCACGCTGTTCGCTCAGGGCCAAGTAGCGGTGTGACGGTGACTTCCTGACATAAGAGTGAAGTGTAAGATTTTCAAGGATTATTTCTGGTTGTGTTTCTTTAGTAGGGTGGGCAGGGTGATGTTTTGGAGAGAGAGAGAGAGAGAGAGAGAGAAAATATATACTACACTGTATCTGCCCAACAACAATAGACACTTAAAAAAATATTAGTAATAAAAGATAAAATAAGCGAGTAAGAGAAAAAAAAATGACAGCAAGATGAAAAAAAAAAGGATTGAAAAAATCCCATTGAGATACCGTACCATACTAACCCTGAGGTGTCGTGATGCGGTCGTCACTGTTATATACACAGTTTACTAAAGGAAAAAAAAGTATATATAAAGAGTCGTAATTATAGAAGCATTTCCTGGTGTCAAGTCATGGTGAAAGTTTTCCGCCATGATGAAACGTGGAATGGTGATGGTGGGGGAGTGGGTGGGTGGGAGGGAGTAAGGGTTGTGGGTGGGAGGGTGGAGGGAAGGGGGGCGGGTGGTGTTTGGTAGAAGGAATGGGTGGTGGAATTTAAGGTAGTGGAGGTGTGTGAAGAGGGAGATAATTATGTAAGTGTAGAGGTGGGAGAGAAGGGTGTACCTGTCTGTGTGGGTACAGGAGATGGTGAGGGGGGGGGGGTTTCTCACACACACACACACATACACACACACACACACACACACACACACATACACACACACAAACTTGTAATTTAAAGTACATTTGGAATCCTCTTATTCTGCCAGCTTACGTTATCTGTAGGCCAAGATGGCGTCAGATAATACCCGAGACTTCACGATACTGTTAAGCAGGGACACTTGGCGAACGTATATTTATAATTATTAAACTGGATCACCTGAAGATTAGCCACCCCCATCTACAGCCAACTGATTATTAAACACATTAACGCTACATGTGGGGAGGGGGTAGGTTAAGTCAGTAGGTTAGGTTAGGTTAGGTTAGGTTAGGTTAATATTAAGGTGAAATAAGCTAAGGACTAATCTGCAGGTGACCCGCGGTCCTGCCAGGTGTACGATTAGCCGACATTCACCCAGTGACCTGTACCCCCGGCCACGTGTGAAGGTTGAAGCCTCACTCTTCTCCCCAGGGGTGAGAATATACAGTACGTGAGCTGTGCTGATCCTCTGAATAATAACAAGTCCCTTACACACACACGCTAGATCACTCCATCACCCACACACTCACGCACTCTTGTTTACATACATACATACCCTGTACATACATATATACATACATACATACATACATACATACATACATACATACATACATACATACCCTGTACATACAGAAGCACACAAACACACACACACACACACACCTGAATAATGTGAAGGAATGCGGATTTACTATTGCCTTGAGATTTTCAATAGACTCCGATAAGAACCAAGTAAACAGTCTGTTTTCTGTGGTGTTTGTTTTGGTGATCAGCTGATTGGAGAAAATCCTTGGCGGGAATTTTCGGAAAAATAAACATACAATGAATTTTTTTCATTGTTGGTAAATGTTATAATAATGTCTTGTAAAGTGTACAGATAATGTATAAGGAATCATGTGAATATTAGCAACCTAGCTTATTTTACCTGGTGATTTAACACCCTAACGCTACCTGGGAAGACACGAGAGTTAGTGAGTTAGTGATGCTGGTGGTTCATTGTACGTTGTCTACATATACATAAACTTTTTTCTTTTTTTTACGGGGATTAGCCCACCCTGGCACAGGTCACTGACCCACATCAGGGCCTGGGGGGGGGGAGGGGATGTAATAATTATTCATAGTAAATAAAATTGATAATAAAAGTAAAATAGAATAGTAATGATAGCAATCTTAATAATAATAATAATAATAATAATAATAATTCTGTAATAATAATAATAATGATAATAATAATAATAATAATAATAATAATAATAATAATAATAATAATAATAATAATAAAAATAATAATAATAATAATAAAAATAATAATAATAATAATAATAATAATAATAATAATAATAAAAATAATAATAATAATAATAATAATAATAATAATAATAATAATAATAATAATAATAATAATAATAATAATAATAATAAAGAACTACAGGTATAAAGAAATAAAAAAAATAGTGAGAAACAATATATGTATGTTGTGTTGTCAAGTAAGAGAAACAATTAAAACCCTGCAATTGTGTGTAAATGAGGCAGAATGACAGATGAGCAACCTGGGACTTGGTCACAATTTTTGTGATGCCATATGGCTGCAGGGTCTACCATTAGACAACACATTATGCTTCCAATATCTTCCCAGGCGGTAGTACCTCCCTGTTGGTAGCTGCCTACTACCTGCTACATATACATTAATTTTAATCTTAATTATCCGCATAAATTTTCCTCCCGGTGCAGAGCTTGGCGATGTACTGTACGTGTCTTTGTTTAGTGGATACACGTCAGCGAGGCATATAGTGGTGGTAATGGTAGTAGTTGTAGGGGTAGTAGTAGTAGTAGTAGTAGCATTTTTTTTTAGTAGTAGTACAACTGCCCACGCAGTGTCGGAGCGGGGGTTGGTGGTAGTGGTAAGAGTGGTGGTGATGGTGGTGGTATTTAGTTGTGGTAGTGGTCGTAATATATTATTAGGAATAGTACTACCACCATTACTGTTTTATCAACAACCACTACTACAACCTACGCAGTGCCAGAGGAGCAGTAATAGCAGTAGGTAGTGGCAGTTAATTGTAGTCGTGCCAGGTTGAGTGCCACGTCATATTTTTCGCCCTCAATGCGGGTCACTCCTGCTGCAGTGAACGTGGCATAGGGGGAGGAGAGAGAGAGAGAGAGAGGGGTAAAGAAGGGGGATTGGTGAATGAGGAGAAGCGAGAAAGGGGGAGAGAGACAGAGGAAGGTTGGAGGAGGAGAGGAATAATAAAAGGATAATGAGAATCCAGAAAAAAATATCACTGATCTACAAATGTTTCCTGTGTCATGATCTAATTTTCCGAGTCTCTCTCTCTCTCTCTCTCTCTCTCTCTCTCTCTCTCTCTCTCTCTCTGCTGTAGAATTAAATATCAGTTGTATCTACGATGTTGTCAGTATGCCATTATTGTTGTCATTAGTTACGAGTGTTGTCAGTGTAGTAATGTTGTCAAAGTATCGGGATAGTTGTTAGTGTACAGTAGTAGACTGTTGTCAGTACACTGGGGTGGATGTCAGCAGTCAAAGAACGTCCTCACTGATTCAGGACAGTATTCAGTGCAATATCGTGTTGTCAGTGTAGTGATGTCAATGTACCGGGATAATTTTCAGTAGTCCAGAAGTGTTGTCAATGGTCCATGAGTGTTGTCAATGGTTCAGGAGTGTTGTCAATGGTTCAGGGGTGTTGTCAATGGTTCAGGAGTGTTGTCAATGGTTCAGGAGTGTTGTCAATGGTCCATGAGTGTTGTCAATGGTTCAGGAGTGTTGTCAATGGTTCAGGAGTGTTGTCAATGGCTTAGGAGTGTTGTCAATGGTTCAGGAGTGTTGTCAATGGTTCAGGAATGTTGTCAATGGTTCAGGAGTGTTGTCAATGGCTTAGGAGTGTTTTCAATGGCTTAGGAGGTGTTGTCAATGGTTCAGGGGTGTTGTCAATGGCTTAGAGTCTTGTCAATGGTTCAGGAGTGTTGTCAATGGTCCATAGATGTTGTCAATGGTCCATGAGTGTTATCAATAGTTCAGGAGTGTTGTCAATGGCTTAGGAGTGTTGTCAATGGTTCAGGGTGTTATCAATGGTCCATGAGTGTTGTCAATGGTCCATGAGTGTTGTCAATAAGCAGGAGTGTTGTCAATGGTTCAGGAGTGTTGTCAATGGCAGGAGTGTTGTCAATGGTTCAGGAGTGTTGTCAATGGTTCAGGAGTGTTGTCAATGGTTCAGGAGTGTTGTCAATGGCTTAGGAGTGTTTTCAGTGTACCAGGATTGTTGTCGGAGAGCATTGTCACTATGCCGGGATCGTTTACAGGTGGGTGTTGTCAGTATACCGGAAGTGTTGCCAGAGGGACTGTTGTCACGATACCAGGAGTGTTGTCAGGGCATGTTTCACTATACCGGGAGTGTTGTCAGGTGGTGTTGTCACTATCAGGAGTGATGTCAGGGAGATATTGCCACTATACCAAAATTGTTGTCAGGGGGTGTTGTCAGTATAACGGGAGTGTTGTCAGGGGCATGTTCACTATACCGGAGTGTTGTCAGGAGTGTAAGTCAGGGGTGTAGTCAAGGGGTGTAGTCAGGGGGTGTAGTCAGGGGTGTAGTCAGGGGTGTGTCGGGGTGAGTCAGGGGTGTGTCAGGTGTGGTCAGGGGTGTAGTCAGGGGTGTGGTCAGGGGGTGTGGTCAGGGGGTGTAGTCAGGGGGTGTAGTCAGGGGTGTAGTCAGGGGTGTAAGTAGGGTGTAGTCAGGGGTGTGGGTGTAGTCAGGGGTGTAGACAGGGGGCTGTAGTCAGGGGTGTAGTGAGGGGGTGTAGTCGGGGTGTAGTCAGGGGTGTAGTGGGGGTGTGGTCAGGTGTAGTCAGGGGTGTAGTCGGAGGGTGTAGTCAGGGGTTCAGTGTAGTCAGGGGTGGTCAGGGGGTGTAGTCAGGGGTGTCAGGGGTGTAGTCAGGGGGTGTAGTCAGGGGTGTAGGTGTAGTCAGGGGCTGTAGTCAGAGTGTAGTCAGTTAGTCAGAGGTGTAGTCAGGGGTGTTGTGAACAGGGTGGATTAGTGGCTGGTTGGTAGTCCCCAGAACTCGGTCTAGGTGAAGCCAGATCCCCGGATCGATCCCATCACGTGAGTATCACCCAGCCTACGTAATCACCAGGGAGGTGGGGTGGATAGTTGGGGGAGGAAGGATGATGTGGTGAATGGTTTAGGGAGAGAGAAGGTGAAGGAGGAGGAGGAGGAGGAGAAGACTGGTGAATAGAAGAAATGAATAACCTCTTCAGTAGTGTGGTAAACTTGTTTTGATAAGGTGATGAATTATGGTGGGGTGGGGGTCGGGGGTAGATAAATTAATGGGGAGATGAATATTGTGTGACGAATGATGGGGTTTGACGGCCTCTTCACCAACCTACTCTCCCAGCACCACCACTACCTCCCCTCCACGTAACACCACCTACACCTACCTACCTACCTCCTCCCCACGTAGCACCACCCACACCTACCCACCTCCCCACAACACCATCCACACCTACCTACCCATCCTCCTCCCCCGAAGCACACACCCACACCAACAACCCCACATCCCCACGTAACACCACCTACCAACCTCCACCTACCTCCCCACGTAACACCAACACACCCACACCAACCCACTACCCCCTGCACCACCCTCCTCCCCACGTAACACCACCACCCACACCTACCTTACCCTCCATGCAGCACCAACCACATACCCACCTATAACACCACTCCCCCACGTACACCACCCTAACCAACCTACCTCCCCACGTAACACCAATCAAACCTACTTCCCCACTCCAAAAACCCCCACGTAACACCACCTACACCAACCTACTCCCACGCAACACCACACCTACACCCCACCCACCTCCCACACCTACCTCCCTCCCCACGTAACACCACCCACACCCCAACACCACACCACCTCCTCCCTCCTCCCCACTGTAACACCACCCACACTCCCACCTCCTCAGCACGCAACACCACACCTACCCTCCCTACACCTACCACAACACCACACCAACCCCACGTACCTACAACACCCACCTACAACCTACCTACCTCCCCAACACACCCACCCCAACCCCACACCCACACCAACCCCCCACCACCCACTCAACCCACTGCAACAACACCACACACACCACCTACACTCCTAGCCAGAACACCACACTACTCACACCTCTACCTCCCCACACCTACACCAACCACACCAATACACACTGCACACTAACCCACACCACCTAGCACCACCCACACCAACCCACCAACCCCCACGTAGTCACCTACCTACCTCCCCAGTAGCACCACCCACACCAACCTACTCCACCTCCCTCACGTACCACCCACACCAACCTACCTCACCTCCCCAAGTAACACCACCCACACCAACCTACCTACCTCCCCCACGTAGCACCACTACACCAACCCACCTCCCAAGTAACACCACCCACACCAACCCACACGTAGCACCACCTCACACTACCTCCTCCATGTAGCACCACCAACCTACTCCCCACGTAGCACCACCCACACCTACCTACCTACTCCCGCAGTAACCCCTTCTACCAGCCACCTCCCCACGTAGCACCACCTACACCAACCTACCTCCCCACTGTAGCACCACCCACACCACCCACCTCCCCAGCAGCACCACCCACACCAACCTACCTCCCCACGTAGCACCACCCACACCACCTACCTCCCCCACAGCACCACCTACACCCACACCTCCCCACAGCACCTTTACACCAGCCTACCCCACGTAGCACCACCACACCAACCCACCTCCCCACGTAGCACCACCCACACCAACCTACCTCCCACGCAGCACCACCTACACCCTCCACGTAGCACCACCTACACCTACCTCCTCCCACGCAGCACCACCTACACCAACCTACCTCCTCCCCACGTAGCACCACCTACACCCAACCTCCCCACGTAGCACCACCTACACCAATCCCTCACTCCCCACGTAGCACCACCCACACCTACCTCCCTCCCCCACGTAGCACCACCTACACCAACCCACTCCCCTCCTCACGTAGCACCACCCACCTACTCTCCCCACGTAGCACCACCCACACCAACCTACCTCCCCAGTAGCACCCCCCACACCAACCCACTCCCCACGAGCACCACCTCCACCAACCTCTCACCTCCCCACGTAGCACCCACCCACACCAACCCATTCCCCCCACGTAGCACCACCTACACCAACCTACCTCCCAAGCAGCACCACCCCACACCAACCTACTCCTCCCACGTAGCACCACACCTACACCTACTCCCTCCCCACGTAGCACCACCGACACCTACCTACCTCCCCCACGTAGCACCACCCACACCTACCTCCCCTCCCCCACGTAGCACCACCCACACCCACCTCCCTCCCCACTGTAGCACCACCCCACACCTACTCCCTCCCTCCCCCACGTAGCACACCTACACCAACCTACTCCTCCTCCAATGCAGCACCACCCACACCAACTCCACGTAGCACCACCCACACCACAACCACCCCCACGTGCAGCACACCCACACCCCCACCTACCTCCCCCACTGCAGCACCACCCACACCTACCTCCCCTCCCCACGTAGCACCACCTACACCTACCTCCCTCCTCACGTAGCACCACCTACACCAACCTACCCCTCCCCACGTAGCACCACACCACACCAACCCACCTCCCCACGTAGCACCACCCCACACCCACCTACCTCCCCCCACGTAGCACCACCTCCACACCAACCACCTCCCCACGTAGCACCACCCACACCCACCTCCCCACGTAGCACCACCTACACCAACCTACCTCCCCCACGTAGCACCACCCACACCACAACCCACCTCCCCACGTAGCACCACCTACACCTACCTACTCCCCACGAACCACCTACACCAACCTCCCTCCCCACGTAGCACCACCTCCACACCAACCTACTCCTCCCGTAGCACCACCCTACACCCCATCACCTCCCCACCCCACACTAACCTACTCTCCCACGTAGCACCACCCACACCTACCTCCCCCACGTGCACCACCTACACCACTCCTCCCCACGTAGCACCACCTACACCTCCACTACCTCCCCACAGCACCACTCCACACCAACCTACCTCCCCACGTAGCACCACCTACATCACAACCAACACCACCTCCCCACGTAGCACCACCACACCAACCTACCTACCTCCCCCCACGTAGCACCACCTACACCAACCTACCTACCTCCCCCCACAGCACCACCTACACCAACCCACCCACCTCCCACGTAGCACCACCTCACCAACCCACCAATCCCATCACCTCCCCACGTAGCACCTACACTAACCCACCTGCACACCAACCCTCCCCACGTAGCAATCCTCCCTCCCCACGTAGCACCACCGACACCACGTTGCCCACCTACACCTACCTCCCCAATGGCACCACCACACCAACCTACCTCCCCATGTAACACCACCTACACCAACCTCCCTCCCCACGTACCACCACCACACCTACCTCATCCCCACGTAGCACCACCCACACCTACCTCCCCTCCCCACGTAGCACCACCGACACCTACCTACCTCCCCACGTTGCACCTACACCTACCTCCTCCCCACGTAGCACCACCTACACCAACCTACCTCCCCACGTAGCACCTTTACACCAGCCTACCTCCCCACGTAGCACCATCTACACCAACCCCCACGTAGCACCCTACACCAGCCTCACCTCCCCACTGCAGCACACCCACACCAACCTACCTCCCACGTAGCACACCTCACACCTCCTCCCCCACGTAGCACCACCTACACCTACCTACCTCCTCAAGTAACTTTTTGTTGTAGTCTGTAGGGTGTGTGTGTTAAGGTGGCGGTGTTACTAAGTTTAAAAGCTGGTTAAATTAATTTGCTGTTTAAATTTCATCACAATATCTACCATTAAAATTAAGCATGTACAAGAAGAGAGAGAGAGAGAGATCAACACAAGCAGAGGATGGAGAGATATCTGTAATCTTTCTCTTCTACTCGGGGAAGATATCGTTTCCTCCTTAATGTCAATCTAGCAAACTCCCACCGAAATATTACAATGTGGGATGGTAAAAACCCAGAGATGATGATATTTACAACGCAGGGAAAATTAATTTGTATAGAAAGATCCACAGAAAGTATGAAATTCCAGCAGTTTAGAAAAGTGAATTTAAACAGGCAGTACCACAGGCAGCATGGCATTCTAAGAGTATATATACAGTAAATACGTTTATATAATTCATTACATAGCTCAAGAAACTCTCTCAAAGTCCCACCAAAATATTATAATGTTCCAGATGCTGAAACTTGCAGGAAAACAATTCGTATAAAAGCCAAAGAAAGTAAATGTTATTGGCAAACACAGTGGAATTACTTTTTATAAACGATCGTTCTGTTGTGTGGTACTGATAGTTGTAGCGGTGTGTGGTGGTGATGATGGTGGTGTAAGATGATGACGGGAGAGAGAGAGAGAGAGAGAGAGAGAGAGAGAGAGAGAGAGAGAGAGAGAGAGAGAGAGTGGAGCAGTAAGGTAAACCCCCCCATTAACTCACGAGATTAGAAAACGTATCTTATGACGGTCAAGTCTCAGCACAGTCCCGGCGCCCTTTAGGTATCCAAGTTTTTATCGTAGCTGAAAGTGGACGAGCTAAATGAGGTGTTTTGTGTCTGAAGAGAGAAAGAAGTTTTTATAAGAATTAAGAGGATTAATTACCTTGGTAACCTTTGAGAGGTGACGGGTCAAGGTGGAGGTTTTCACTGACCCACACTATACTGTACAGTATACATGTAGGCTCAAAGACCACAACGCTTTGGAAAGGAACTTATAGTAAATCCAAGACGCAAATTTTGAAACCTTTTGGTTTCACACACACACACACACACACACACACACACACAATACTGGTGAAATATCTGAATATGTCTGTATGTATGCACACATGTATGTATGTATGTATGTATGTATGTATGTATGTATGTATGAAATTTTATTATTATACGTACACAATTATCACATTAATTTCCTCCTTTCCTCAGGTGAGTGACAGTTTTTCCTGGCCGTGTCAACAGTGAGTACAGTGCCAGACCACATCACCCCAAGTAACCCTTAAGTATCACCTGTTGCTCTAATTATCGTTCACGGCCGCCCAGACCACAACACACTCTGACCACATATGATACTATCCCAGAATGCACACTTTAATTGCCTATAATTAACCTGTGCTCTTTCATAGGCCTAAAGAGAGAGAGAGAGAGAGAGAGAACTCACTCACCCACGTCCTGCTCTCCCAGCATCCTCAGTGTTCTCTTACTCTTACCCCTAACCCCTCTCATAACCCTCTCTATCACCTCTCATCCCCTATGCCACCCCTCTCATCCATCCTCCTCTCATCCCCTATCCCACCCCTCTCATTCCCTATCCCACCCTCCTCTCATACCCTTATACCACCCCTCTCATACCCTATCCCACCCCCTCATCCCCAAGCCCATCCCTCTCACACACTCTCATCCCTCTCCCATTCTCATCCCCCTTTCACCCTCATCCTCTCCCTTTCTTCTCTCAACCCACTTTCCCCTCTCCTCACTCTTCCCCACCTCTCACCACCTTCCCTCTCACATAGGCCCCCCTAGGCGACAACACACCCCGGTAGATGTGTCCCTTGATAATGGAGATGAATGACGATTTCGGGAGTGACTGTCATTCATTTGGTCCTCTCTGGTCTTCTCTGGTCCTTCTTGGTCCTCTGCTTCTCTGGTCCTCCCGTCCTCGTCCTTTTGGTCCTCTGGTCCTCTCTCGTCCTTTTGGTCCCTCTGGTCCTCTCTGGTCCTCTGGTTTTGTCCTGCCTCCCTGGTCCCTGGTCCCTCTGGTCCCTCTCTCGTCCTTCTTGGTCCTTCCTGGTCCCTCTGGTCCCTCTCTGGTCCTCTGGTCCTCTTGGTCCCTCTCTGGTCCCGTCTGGTCCTCTGGTCCTCTCTGGTCCTCCTCTAGTCCTCCTCTGGCCTCCTGGTCCTCCCGGTCCTCCCTGGTCCTCTCGTCCTTCTTGGTCCTTCCTGGTCCCTCTGGTCCCCTGGTCCCTTTGGTCCTCTCTGGTCCTCTCTGGTCCCTCTCGTCCTTCTTGGTCCTTCCTGGTCCTCTGGTCCTCTCTGGTCCTCTCTGGTCCCGTCTGGTCCTCTCTGGTCCTCTCTGGTCCTCCTCTAGTCCTCCTCTGGTCCTCTGGTCCTCTCTCGTCCTTCTTGGTCCTTCCTGGTCCTCTCTGGTCCTCTCTGGTCCTCCTGGTCCTCCCTGGTCTCTCTGGTCCTCTCGTCCTTCTTGGTCCTTCCTGGTCCTCTCTGGTTCTTTCTGGTCTTCCCTGGTCCTCCCTGGTCCTCCCTGGTCCTCTCTCTGGTCCTCTCTCGTCCTTCTTGGTCTTCCTGGTCCTCTCTGGTCCTCTCTGGTCCTCTCTGGTCCTCTCTGGTCCTTCTTGGTCCTTCTGGTCCTCTCTGGTTCTCTCTGGTCCTCTGGTCCCGTCTGGTCTCTCTCTGGTCCTCTCAGTCCTCCTCTAGTCCTCCTCTGGTCCTCCTGGTCCTCTGGTCCTCTGGTCCTCCTCTCGTCCTTCTTGGTCCTTCCTGGTCCTCTCTGGTCTCTCTGGTCTCCCTGGTCCTCCCTGGTCCTCTCTGGTCCTCTCTCGTCCTTCTTGGTCCTTCTGGTCCTCTCTGGTTCTTTCTGGTCTTCCTGGTCCTCCCTGGTCCTCTGGTCTCTCGTCCTTCTTGGTCCTTCCTGGTCTCTCTGGTCCTCCCTGGTCCTCCCCGGTCCTCTCTGGTCTCTCTCGTCCTTCTTGGTCCTTCTGGTCTCTCTGGTCCTCTCTGTCCTCTGGTCCTCTCTGGTCTCTCTCGTCCTTGGTCCTTCCTGGTCCTCTCTGGTTCTTTCTGGTCCTCTGGTCCTCCCTGGTCCTCCCTGGTCCTCTCTGGTCTCTCTCGTCCTTCTTGGTCCTTCTGGTCCTCTGGTCCTCTCTGGTCCTCTCTGGTCTCTGGTCCTCTGGTCCTCTCTGGTCCTCTGGTCCTCTCTGGTCTCTCTGGTCCTCTTGGTCCTCTCTGGTCGTCTCTGGTCCTTCTTTCGTCCTTTGTTAACTACCCTGAGAGAATGCCCAATCATCCGCCATATTATCATATTCATAAACTGTTGACCCACCAAAGGCAAAATACAATCAACCTTTTGTAACGCATAAACATAACCCATATTTAATGACAACATAAACGGTAACACTAACATAACCTAGAACTACGAATAGTTATAAGAAATTCCTAGAGTGTGTGGCAGGGTGTGTTGGGGGAGTGTGTGTGTGTGTGTTTGGAGAGTGTGTGGCAGGGTGTGTTGAAGTGTGTGTGTGTGTTTGACGAGTGTGTGTGGCAGGTGTGTTGGGGGGTGTGTGTGTGTGTGTGTTTGGAGGTGTGTGGGGTGTGTTGGGGAGTGTGTGTGTTTGTTTGACGAGTGTGTGGCAGGGTGTGTTGGGGAGTGTGTGTGTGTGTGTTTGAGTGTGTGGTGTGTTGGGGGTGTGTGTGTGTTTGTTTGGCGAGTGTGTGTGGCGGTGTGTTGGAGAGTGTGTGTGTGTGTTTGTTTGGAGGTGTGGCAGGGTGTGTTGGGGGTGTGTGTGTAAGACAGGTGTTGGAATGGGTATGTGTTATGGTAGGTGTGTTGGAGGAATGTGTGTGTGGTGTGTTGGGAGAGTGTGTGTGTGGTGGGGAGGATGCATTGGTGTAGAGTGTGGGTGTGTGGGAGAACGTGTTGATTACAGTGAATGTTTCTGTAGAGTGTGTTTGGGGAATGTGATGGAGACAAAGTGTTGTGGGACAGAGTGCATAGTGGAGACTGTTGGAACAGTGTGTGTGTGTGTGTGTTGGTGTACGTTTGTAGTGTGGAGAAGTGTGTTAGGGACAGAGTGCGTTTAGTTAGGGTTAGAATGTATGTGGGGGTGAAATGGTTCTTGTGGGGAGAGTGTGTTGGAAAGACTGTGTGTGGAGGAAGAGTGCGTGGGCGACGGATTGTATGTGGGTGAGTGGGGAAGAGTGCGTGGGGGGAGAGTGCGTGGGGAAGTAGAGAGTGAGAGGGAAGACTGTGGTGTGTGTGTGGGGGCAGAAGGAAGTGTGTACCACAGAGATAACTTTATCCTCTTTTAAGGTGATAAATGCCACTTTGTCAAGCTCCCCCTCCTCCTCCTTCTCCTCCTCCTCCTCCTCCTTCTCCTCCCTCCTCTTCCTCCTCCTCCTCCTGCTTCTCCTCCCATTCATTAGCCCTCACTGCTTCCCTATCACCGCCTTCTCTCCTATTCCCCATAATTACTACCCACCCCCATAACTACTCTCCCGCCCCCTTCTCTCCCCATCCCCATAACTACTCTCCCTATCCCCATAGCTTCTCTCCCTATCACCATAATTACTCTCTCCACCCCATAATTACTCTCCCGCCTCATAACTCATCTCCCTTCCCATAATTATTATCCGTTCCCATAATTACTCTCCCCACCCTGTAACTTCTCTCCCCATAATTACTCTCCCCAACCCAATAACTACTCTCCCTATCCCCAATTCTCTCCCTATCCCACAATTACTCTCCTATCCCCTCTCTCTCCCTATCCCCACAATTACTCTCCTATCCCCATAACTACTCTCCTATCCCCATAATTACTCTCCCTATCCCCATAATTACTCTCTCTATCCCCCATAATTACTCTCCCTATCCATAACTACTCTCCCTATCACCATAACTACTCTCCTATCACCATATTACTCTTCCCCCCATAATTACTCTCCCTATCCCCAATTCCTATCCCCATAATTACTCTCCCTATCCCCACAATTACTCTCCTATCCCCATAACTACTCTCCTATCACCCTACTTCTCTCCCCCATCCTTACTCTCCCTATCCCTGCTTCTCTCCTATCACCATAACTTCTCTCCCTATCCCCAAACTACTCTCCCTATCACCATAACTACTCTCTATCCATAATTACTCTCTCTATCCATAATTACTCTCCCTATCCCCATAACTACTCCCTATTCCTTAACTACTCTCCTATCACCAATTACTCTTCCCCCCCACAATTCTCTCCTATCCCCATAATTACTCTCCCTATCCCCATAATTACTCCCTATCCCCATAATTACTCTCCCTATCCCATAACTACTCTCTCTATCCCCATAATTACTCTCCCTATCCCCATAATTACTCTCCCTATCCCCATAATTACTCTCCCTATCCCACAATTCTTCTCCTATCCCATAATTACTTTTCCCACCCCATAATTACCTCGCTATAAGTCATCTCCTTCCCCATAATTATTATCCCTCCCTATAATTACTCTCCCCAACCTACTACTCTTCCCTACCCATATCGACTTTCCCTATAATTGCTCACATAATTACTCTCCCCACCCATAATTACTCTCCCCACTCCAATTCTCTCTAACTACTCTTCTCACTCCATATCTACTCTCTATAACTTCCCCCTACCCCCATAACAACTCTCCCTACACTCATAACAGTCCCCATTAACTTCTCAACATGAGATGACCATGAGTGTTGGGGAGAGGGAGAAGAGGTGAGGGGGAGGAAGGATGGTGTTTGGAGGGTGGGAAGCAGTGAGGATTTGGGAGGAGGTGATAGGTGAGGGGTAAGGTTAGGGGAGGGTGGATGGTGAGGGAAGGAGAGGCTGGGGAGGGAGGGCTGGGGTGAGGGAGGTAAGAGGTCTTCAAAGTTTGATATAAAGTGAGGAAAATCACCAGCCAGAAAATGGTGGCAAGGAGAGAGATGAGGGATGGTGATGGTGGTGATGTGGTGGATGGAGGGGATGGGTGTGGTGATAGTGGTGATGGGGTGGTGATAGTGGTGGTGAGAGTGGTGAGAGTGGTGGTGAGAATGGTGATGGTGATAGTGGGATGGTGGTGGTGATAGTGGTGATGGTGGTGGTGATAGTGGTGGTGATAGTGGTGGTGGTGATAGTGGATGGGTGATAGTGGTGATGGTGGTGAGTGATGGGGGTGGTGATAGTGGTGAGAGTGGTGGTGATAGTGGTGGGTGATAGGTGGTGATGGTGATAGTGGTGATGGTGGTGGTGAGAGTTATGATAAAGGTGGTGATAGTGGTGATGGTGTGGTGATGATTGGTGATAGTGGTGGTGATAGTGGTGATGCTGGTGGTGATAGTGGTGGTGAGAGTAGTGGTGGTGATGGTGATGGTGGGGTGATAGTGGTGATAGTGGTGGTGGTGATGTTGGTGGTGATGGTGGTGGTGGCGGTGATGGTGGTGGGTGGGAGGTGGTGATACTGCGGTGGAGGTGGTGAACCAAGTTTTGAAATACTGTACTGTAGTGTACCTCAACCTTATGTTATGTTGAGCTAGTAATTATCTTACTTGTGTTCACGAGAGATTGATCTGCGTAAAATAAATTTGGGTTTGCAGCCTTTATTTTTTATTTTTCGTTTTGTTTATAGTGAGAAACTTCTGAACTTTTTTGGGCTCCATAAAACTATTATATGTACAGTGATATTTTTGTTTTATTGTTGTCTTTGGTCAAATCGACTTACTGTTTACCTTTAAATATATAACTGATATACAATAACAAATTAGTTAATGTTTTTGTTGACGTTTGAGAGTTACAGAAAACGGGGGTGTGTAAGATAAGGCTGAGAAACTAACGAGAGAAAATGTGCCGCACATATGGGTAACTTTCCTATATGTCTACTGTCGGTAGTGTGAGTTCAAGATTACATACATAATGGTTGCCCCTCGTGTAACGAGGATGACCTGCTCAAGGGCCACTTAATCTCGTCCACGGTCTGAAATCTCCTCCCTTTCAACGGCGATTTTACCTTTGAGAAAAGCCAGAAGTCGCAGGGAACCAAATCTGAGCTGTAGGGAGGATGAGAGACCTTGGTGATGCGAAGTTTTGCCAAAAAAACCTGCACGTGACGTGAAGAATGGGCAGCCGCGTTGTCATGATGAAGCTGCTAGTCACTAATTGCCCACAGCTGCGGTCGTTTTCTTCTTACCGCATCCCTCAGCCGGCGAAAAACTTCGATGTAGTACTCCTTCGTTATTGTTTGGCCTGGAGGAGATTAAGGAGACTGCGACGAGGCAGCTGATGGAGATCCCGAAAGAGGACTTTGCAGACTGTTTTGAAAAGTGGAAGGGACGCTGGGAGAAGAGTGTGAGGTCCCAAGGGGAGTACTTTGAAGGGGACTAAGGCGCCATTGTCCTAGGTAAGCAATATTTTTTTTAATAGTAAATGGCTGGATACTTTCCGGACAGACCTCGTATAATACCATCCATCATCACTACAGATCGGTAAAGTTGTTTCTGAGATTCCTCGGGACACGCAGACAGACTTCTTTTGTTTTATATATATATATATATAGAGATTTTAATTGTATATTTTTTATTATAAATCTTTTACGTATTTATGATTATACATTATTACCCCCCAGGCCCCGATGTGGGTCAGTGACCTGTGCCCGGGTGGGCTAATCCCTGTTAAAAAAAATGTGACCGACATTTCAGGTCATCTCTGTAGTCACATTCCTCAAAGTGTATTGAGCACACCACTGCATTGATGTCATCAGCTCGGCAACAGGAATAAACCCACCGCTGTCTATTTTTTTTTCTTTAGAAAGCGGAAATATTTAATGCTTAATCATACTGGGTTTTTATTCTTGTCTTATTGCATCCATATACTGAGCAATTGCTCGGCATATCTGCAGCATTGAGGCCAGTTCAATGAAAATTTACCACGTCACAAAATATTGATTGCCTCAGACAGTGGTATTTACACACAAATTGCTCGGGTCAGACTGGGTCAACTTGTCAAGGACAAGCATGCGCAGGCAGAGTGGATCAGCTGACGTCATCACTTCCACCAGTCTCTACCTCACCTGCGCGCCGTTCGACCTCTCTACATAGACCTTGCCTTATACCTACTATGTGAGCGCCACGACACCTCTCTCCCCATAGCGGAGCGGCCACAACCTTCTTGTAGCGTTGCGGTGCTACACCTCTCTCGTAGTGAGCGGCCACACACCCTCTCGTAGCGCTATGAAGTACACCTCTCTCGTAGTGGAGCCGCCACACACCTTCTCGTACTGAGCGGCCACACACCTCTC